TATTTGGCTCGGAATAAATTATCTCTTTTTATGTTTTAAAATTTATTTATTTTGGTTTTTCGAGACAGGGTTTCTCTGTACTGGTTTGGAGCTTGTCCTGGAACTTGCTCTGTAGACCAGGCTGGCCTCGAACTCACAGAGATCCACCTGCCTCTGCCTCCCGAGTGCTGGGATTACAGGCGTGCGCCACCACTGCCCGGCGCTGGCTGAGATTCTTATTTCATAATGGATTGTTATGACACCAGCATGCATATCTTGCTTGGAATCAGGAAAAACTAAAGATATTAAAAAAAAATACACAAAATCCATATATCCATGCGTATAAGTTTATGTATACTGCGTGCATACAGGTACTGGCAGAAGCCAGAAGAGGGAGTGGACCCCCACCCCTCACCAGCTGGAGTTACAGCAGTTAGGAGCTGCCGTGTGGGTGCTGGAAACCAAACCCAAGTCTTCTCCAAAAGCAGAAAGCAAGCGTTCTTAACTACTGAGACATCTATCTCTCCAGGCAGAAACGGGCGTTTTTAAAAAACACCAGCGGCTCTCACACATAGTCAAGGACGAGAACCACTGAATTCAGGTGCTCTTTCCGTGTGCGGGAGGAAAAACCCGAGAGTCAGCAAGGATGAATGGATCTTGTGAGCCTAGGGCCTCTGGGCCACAGCGGCAGAAAGAAGCCCCAGAGGATGGCACAGGGAGCGTGGTTCTTGTGCCCTCTAGTGGTCAGAAAGATCTAGTAGCCCCGGCAGAGAAGCTAATGTAAGCAGCCCTGTATGTGCTAACTGAAGTCTTTGAAGAGTCCTCCTCCCTGCTCCTCCCCAAGCCCATCCAGGCCCCACCTTGACTTTGACCTTATAATTACCCGAGCAGACCTCATCTAAGCTGTCCCAACTTAAAAAAGTTATTTACATGTGTGTGCACACGTGTATGTGAGCACATGCTGTGTGTATGTGTGTGTGTGTGTGTGTGTGTGTGTGTGTGTGTGTGTGTGTGCCCACGCGCTTGGAGATTAGAAGAGGTATTGACTCCCCTGGAGCTGGAGTTGCAGGTGGTTGTGAGTCACCATATGCGAGCAGGGAACCAAAACCAGGACTGCAGGAAGGGCTGGGAGTGCTCTTAGCCACCGAGCCATCTCTCCAGACCTCCCCCCCCGCGCGCCCATCCCAAGGCCCCTGGCCAACTTGTCAGCTTGGTCTGTGCTATACAATCTGCCCCTTCCTCCCCTTCACCCCAGCAGCCCACAAGATTCTCCTGTGTGTATTTCATTTCACGTTTATGGTTTTTGGAGCAATTTAAACTCCCGGCTTGTTTTCAAAAGAGAAAATAAAATAGCAGTGGCAAGACAAAAACCAAACAGCAGCAACCAGAAAACTGTTAGATGCTAAACGGGTGTTGTTTTTCTGAGCTTTAGAGGTGCACACAGCATGCCACTCCCCCCATGCACACACAAAGATAAAAATAAATGCATAAATAAATAAATGCATAAATAAATAAATGGATGTTGTCTTAATGTGCTATATGTGTGGCAATCTATTACATAGCCATAAAGAAAGAAATGGCTTAATAGGCATCGCTGCTGCAGGCCAGCTGAGGACGGCAAGTCCCCACGGTCGTGGCCAGTGACTGTGGTCCACCCAGGCAATGTGCCTGCTCCTGGAACTTGGCTTCTACAGCAAAGGCGGCAGGGATGTAACGAAGTCTCGTGAAGATTATTCCCTCTCCTCCTTTTCTTGAGGGTGCTCCCTTCTATGCCGTGTGGTGTTTGCTGCCATGGACTCCCGCTGAAGCTGAGCCGGGGAGGGAGTCAGGGGCGTTCAGCCTGTCTCCGGTTGTATTTTCTCGGAGATGACTATCTTACCGGATGTAGGAATACAGGAATGGGATCTCTCCCTAGATGGGGACACTCCATTGACACCTCCCTCGAGTGTTGGGCCAGTCCTAGGAAGGTCTGGACCAGAAGACTGTGTACTTTTCCTCACCAAAAGAAATACAAAATGCACAGTTTAAAGAGAAAAACGCACCGCTGAATTTAATATCACGCCCGAGGGTTGTGCTGGAAGGAGGCAGGGATAAATGGCAAGGATCAGCTTCGTTTTGTGAGTGGTGTGTGCTGCTTCCTCAGCGTGGGTCTCTGCCTTGTAATCTGTCAGTCTTTTTTTTTTTTTTTTGGTTTTTCGAGACAGGGTTTCTCTGTATTGTTTTGGAGGCTGTCGGTCCAGCCTGGCCTCGAACTCACAGAGATCCGACTGCCTCTGCCTCCCGAGTACTGGGATTAAAGGCGTGTGCCACCAACACCCGGCTAATCTGTCAGTCTGTAATCTGTGGGCCTGTATCAGATTTACCTTCGGTGAGCTACAAACTCAGAAGAGCTTAGAGGGGATGCGTTTGTAGCGGGCATAAGCAAGGAAACATTCCCCTCCCCCATCTAGCACTGTCTAAGGGTTTCTAGTGCTGCAACCAAACTCCATGACCGCAAAACAAGTTGAGAAGGGAGGGGTCCACTTGGCTTACGCCTCCCCAGCACTGTTCATCACTGAGGGAAGTCAGGGCAGGAACTCAAGCCGGGCAGGAGCCTGGAGGCGGGAGCTGATGCAGAGGCCATGGAGGTGGCTGCTCACTGGCTTGTTCCTCATGGCTTGCTCAGCCTGCTTTCCTATAGAACCCAGGACCACCAGTCAGGGATGCCCTACCCAAATGGGCGGGGCCCTCCTCCATCAATCGCTGAATAAGAAAATGCATGCCTACAGGTTACAATACAGCCTGATCCTGGGGAGGCATTTCCTTAAGGTTCCCTCCTCTCAGATGGCTTTAGCTTTGTGTCAAGTTGGCATGAAACTAGCCAGCACAAGTGGGTGCTGAGAGTCAGCCGAAATGGAAGCCTAAGACACATTTGAAAAACATCTTGCGAGGGCGCCGGAGCATATAGTTCAGGCAGCAGAGTGCTTGCCTTGCAAGCCATAGTACCCGAGTTCTAGACCCAGCACCTGTTTTTAAAAAGCCTGGCTTGATGACAGGTGCTCTTGAGATCCCAGTGACTGGGGAGGCAGAGGCAGGAGAATTCTCAGAGCTTCCTGACCAGCTCTGCACCCATGAGAGACCTCGCCACAGAGGTGGGTGAGTTTCCTGATGCTAACCCTGAAGTTTCTCTCTCACCCCTGCACATACACACATCTACACGCACAAGCACGCCAAATATCGAACACATGCACATGTACTAAGCAAAAGAGTTTGCTTGGGAAATGTCCTGTTTGGTTTTTTTTTGTTTGTTTTGTTTTCTGTCAACTTGACACAAGTCAGTTATCTGGGAAGTCGGAAGCTCAATTGAGAAAATGCTTCGGGGCTTGTCTGTGGGGCATTTTCTTGACTGAGAATTGATGTGGGAGGGCCCAGCCCCCTGTGGCTGGTACCATCCCTACAATAGGTTGATGGGGAAGTCCTGTGTATATGTCAATAAAGCACTGTTGGCCAATAGGGAAGCAAGATAGGTGGGACTAGGAGTCGAGGAGGACTCTGGGTAGGAGAAACACAGAGAGACATCATGTAGCCACCATAGGAATAAGAGGTCCAGACCCCTTTCTCCAGTAAGAGAAATACTTAGATTAACAGTTATGGAGTAAATACTTAAGTCAGAGATAGCCGGTAAGAAACCAAGCAAATGGCCAACAGCTTCATAATTAATACGGTGTCTTGTGTGTTATTTGGGGACTACAATGCGGCAGAGTCCAGGCAACTGGTGGGGGAAAACCAAAGCGGCTGGCAAGGAAAAGGCTTCACCCAACATAATGGTGTCGGAAGTGAGATCGAATTTCCAGTAGAATGACAAGAGCTTAAAAGGAATTTTAGAAATAAAAGAACGGAGAGAAGCACAGCTTCTTGGTAGCAGCATTTTTCTCAGGTGGGCTCTGTTTTGCTAGTGACAAGCAGAGACTCATATGACTCACTTAAGGGAGTCTTCCTTACTCAGCATAAGCAAAAAAAACACCCCAAAACAAAAACAAAACAAAACAAACACAAAACCCAGCAATGTTTTCTATGAAAAGTGTGTACGTGTACCTGGAAGTGGCAGTGACCACATCTCCAAGCCGGGAGTTGGTTGCACACGCCTTTAATCCCAGCACTTAGGAGGCAGAGGCAGGCGGATCTCTGTGAGTTTGAGACCAGCCTGGTCTATCGAATGAGTTCCAGGACAGCCTCCAAAGCCACAGAGAAACCCTGTCTCGAAAAACCAAAAAAAAAAAAAAAAAAAAAAAAAAAAAAAAAGGAAAAAAAAGAAAAAAGGATGTGAAGACTTCACCCAACAGTAGGTGGTCCTGGGTATATAAGGAACAAGGCAGGGGGAACAAACCAGTTAGCAGACGTCCTCAATGGTCTCTGCTTCAGTTCCGCCTCTGGGTTGCTACTCTGGCTTCCCTGATGACCGACTGCGTGTAACCTATAACCCAGTTAAACCCTTTCCTCCCTGTGTTGTTTTTGGTCATGGTCATTATCACAGCGATAGAAAGCAACCTAAGACATAAAATAGCCCCCCAAAAGATATGTATACGCAGCCGCAGATCAGGGGTTCAAGAGCTCACCCTCAGGTGTCTGGTTGACAGCTGGCTTCTATTTTCCAGCTGGCCATGTCATCCGTGTCTAGTGAGCCGTCTCTCCGGGGCTTTCCTTTATCTTTGTTGGGAGGGTCTCCCAGCACTTACACACAGACTTCCTCTGTGGCATCAAAATCATATATGAGAATTTGGTGGTCTAACCCTAAACACAGCATGTGCCCCCCCCCGCCTCGACGCAGACCCTTGGGGGATTTTGAATAGCTCTGTGGGGCCTAATGGAAGGTAACCTTTAACCTGGAAATTTCCCGCCTCTCTTGCTGGGGCTTCCAAACGATGGTTCATATGAATGAAGGTTTCACGCCGGGAAGGGCGAGGGCAGGGCAGGCTTTCTGACCCCTTGGTGGTCTTCCCTGGGATGCTTTCATCACAATGCATCCTTCATCTGCTCAGTGTCCAAGCTTCAGGAGCCCTGACTTCTGCACTCTGGCCCTGAAGATCCATTTGCCTGTTGACTGGGCCCCCCCGACCCCTGAGACATTCTTTGGCATAACCTCAAACCAAAGGTGAATTTAACAACTTGTGTAACGTCTCTGGCATCGTCCTCACTGGGAGACCCTGGACACCCGCTTTCAGGTACCGCTCAGGAAGAGTGGGAGGAGACACGGGTATCCCATGGTCCATGCATTTCACCCCATCTCTTGGTAGGGGCAGGTATCTGAGAGCATTGACAGATTCAGGCTACATCTATCGGACGTGGGCCATGGCCAGGCCACTATGGGCATTGTGTAGGCAATACTCTTCACTTCGTCAAGTGACTTTTCTTCTCATCACTCTTCTCTTGGCCATTTTTGGTTATGGCTACTGGCGCCAGAAGAGCCAGATTCACAAAAGTGAGCTAATCAGGGCGAGCGTGGCTTCCGAAGGAAAGCATAGGCTTCGAGATACACAGTTGTCAAAATTGATATATCCCCAGCCAAGTGTGCTTACACCCACCAGGAGGGATGTCATTGTGTTGACCAGCTGGCTTGCCCCGATTGTGTGGGAAGGGACTTTCAACATTGGCATCTTGAACAAGCAGTTCCAACTCCAGAACGACACCATTGGATTGACCGTGTTTGCTTTAAGGAACCACACGGTGTACCTGGAGCAGTTCCTGAGGTCTGCAGACACATTCTTCATGGTGGGGTACAGGGTGAACTTCTACGTCTTCACTGACCAGCCTCACGCGGTTCCTCGACTCCCCCTCCGTGACGAGAGAAAAGTCATCACCTTCCAGATCCCGAGTTTTGAGCACTCGCTGGACAACTCCATGCAGCGCATGAAGTTCATCAGCGTCTATTCCAAGCAGCGTCTCCGCGAGGAGGTGGCTTATCTCGTGTGTTCGGATGTGGATGTCACCTTCCAGAATGCCGTGGGTGTGGAGATTCTCTCTCCTTTGTTCGCCACCCTCCATTTGAGCTTCTACATGAGCAATCGGGAGGTGTTCCGCTACGAACGCCGGCCCAAGTCACAAGCTTATATCCCAAAGGATGAGGGGGACTTTTATTATACAGGGTCCCTGTTTGGGGGATCAGTGGCGGAGATACACAGGCTCACGGCAGCCTGTCACCAGATGATCGTAACAGATAAATCCAACAACATCGAGGCCCTGTGGCATGACGAGAGTTACCTGAACAAGTACCTGCTGTACCACAAACCCACCAAGATCCTTTCTTCAGAGTACATGTTCAATAAGAAGATGGCTTTTGAGAGGTGGGTGAGTGACCACCTCAACCTATTCAGCCTCATCAGGAATGCTAAAATTTTGGAGCTGCCAGAAAAACGACATGCAGACACATAATAAAGATAAAAATCTCCAGAAACTATGCAGAGAGAGAGGGAGGATGGTGAATGCTGCGCCCTAGCCATCCCCTTAGTGTGCTCCCCCCTATTTTTTAAAGGTTTATTTTTATGCGCGTGAGTGCCTGAATGTGTGTATGGGTACCACATGTGTGCAGTGTACTCAGAGGCCAGAAGAGGGCGTCTGCGAGCAGCCATGTGAGTGCTGGGAACCAAACTCCCCTTTCCTGCTGGGACAGAGAATGCTCTTAACCACCAAGCCGTCTCTCCAGCCCCGCACCTCGGCATGCTTTCTTCATTTAAAGCAGTTTGACAGAAAGGATGGCCCCACTTTCCCCCTCATGCTGAGAAAAGTTGTCAGTATCTCTCATCAAATCCTCAAGTATAGCAGAGCACGGTAACACACAGACAGACAGACAGACATACCACACACACACCACACATACATACCATATACACATGCACCACACACACACCACACATACTAATATACAATATACACACAAACACATACACGGAGGCCAAAGGCTAGAGTCCAAGCTCAGGTGTAAGTTCTTGCCCTGCTGCTGTAGACTATTAGCTAAAGGTGAGTTACATTCTTTTATGCTGTGGAATATTTTTTTGATGATGCAAAGATGTGTTGCATTCTTTTATGTTGCATTTGTTTAACTCTGTGAAGCTGTGTTAATTTGCCTGTCTAAAACACCTGCCTGGCCTAATAAAGAGCTGAATGGCCAATAGCAAGGCGGGAGAAAGGATAGGCGGGGCTGGCAGGGAGAGAGGATGAATAGGAGGAGAAACCTGGGAAGAGAAGACCAAGGAGCAGAGGAAGGAGAGGACAGCTGGGACCAGTCACCCAGCTACACAGCAAACCACAGAGTAAGAAGTAAAGAAATGTGTGTAGAGCAGAGGAAGATAGACGCTCAGAGGCAAAAGGTAGATGGGATAATTGAAATTAAGAAAAGCTGACTAGAAACAAGCGAAGCTAAGGCCAGGCATTTATAAGTGAGAATAACACTCTGTGTATTTATTTGGGAGCTGGGTGGCAGGCCCCTCAAAGAGCAAAGAGTAAGAAAAAACCCCCAACAATACCCTGCCATTATCAAACTTCTCCAAACACCCTGAAGACGGATAACATGGGTAGTCTCAGCTTGACGTGACATACCACACACCAGTGATGAGATTGTTCAGGGATTAAGGAAAAAGTCTCCTAGGCACAGACCCTTGCCTCCCCTCTTGAACAAACAAATGCACACACTTTTGTAGAGTGTAGCTTTCCCTACCATCTGCCTGGACCCTGCCACAGTTGCAGTCCCCCAAACAACACGCAGGATGCTATATTAATAATTATGAAGCTGTTGGCTGTTTGCTTGTTTCTTACTGGCTAGCTCTGACTTAAGTATTTAACCCATAATTGTTAATCTAAGTATTTCTCTTACCGGAGAAAAGGGTCCGGACCTCTTACTCCTCTGGCGCCTACATAGTTGTCTCCCTGCGTCTCTCTTTCCCAGAATTCTCCTCGACTCCTAGTCCCACCTATCTTGCTTCCCTATTGGCCAACAGTGCTTTATTGACATAGACACAGGACTTCCCCATCACACTTTCAGTTTTAGATTCTTTCTGAAGTGGAAAGACCATCACCATGGCGTGGAAGAGCGTGGTGTCCAACGAAGGCTTTCTAGCCCTCGGCTGCTCCCTTGTCCCTGTGCTGCTGTCTACCAAGAGTGAAGCCAGCCTCCCTGCCTTCTGCCAGCCTATGTCTGACCAGCCCACGGTCAATGTCGTGATTTGACCATTTCCCGTCAGTAGGAAAAAAATCATACTTGTAGCAAATGTATTGTCATGAAAGCCTGTCTCTCGTAGTCAAAAATGATTTTTAACGGGATAGCAGAAGGGGCTCCGTCAGTAAGACGCTACCCAGATTTGAGGACCCAAGTCACAGGGCTGGCTTACATAAAAAAGCAGGCGACTGGGCCTCAGCCATATTGTTGGGTTTCATAGGTAGAAGGATGCACTCTCAAAGCTGACATCCCCATCTTCTGGCTCTGAGTTTCTCTGCCTCCTTCCCTGTGATGCTCCCTGGGTGTCAGGTGCTGTCTTATAGACTACCACCTCCTCCACCCCCACCATCTCCTTCTGGACCACCACCACCTCAATCACCCCCATCACCTCCAACACCACCACTGTGCCAGGATCAATTATTTGGTCTCTATCTGCTGTAAAAGGAGACTGCTTTAATGAAAGGAGAGAGCTACTCTTAGCAGCGTGTATAAAGTTAAGTGTTTAGAAAGCAGACGGGGATTTCAGTGGTCTGGGAACGTGGCAGGACCTCTAGGAAGAGCAGTCAGTGCTCTTAACCTCTGAGCTATCTCTCCAGTCCCCAGTTTTCCCTGTTTTAAGCAATGTCATTTGCGGATGTATTCCTGAGTATTTTGTGTTTGTTACATGTTATCGTAAATGATACCTCTAAATTTTTACTTTCCAGTTCCCTTTTTACTAAAAAACATAATTGACTTTTTCTACCCTGAAACCTTGTTGAATTCTTTTTGTAGTTCCTTAATCATTTCTAGATACAACATTGTGTTTTTTTATTTTTATTTTTTTCCTTTTGGTTTTTTGAGACAGGGTTTCTCTGTGGTATAACGGCCTTAGCTGTCCTGGAACTCACTCTGTAGACCGGGCTGGCCTCGAACTTACAGAGATCCACCTGCCTCTGCCTCCCAAGTGCTGGGACTAAAGGCGTGTGCCACCACTGCCCAGTTGCAGAATGATTTAGAAGAGGGTGTTAAGTGTTGTCAGTTCCCCCATGGCTCCAAGTTAACACCACAGCTTGTCACACGGAGTTGCTTTCTGAGCATTAGACCGACCCACAAATGCACCCCTGGCACTAACCTCACTTGGCAACGGTAAATGATGATCTTCATTTCCTTCTATTGTTATGACAAAACACCATGACCAAGGCAACTTTTAAAGGACTTCACTGGGAGCTTGCTCTCAGTTTCAAAGGGTTTATTCCATAGCCATCATGGCGGGGGGGCATGGTGCCAGACGGGCGTGGTGCAGCTAAGACCTTCCATTCAGGCAGCAGACAGACAAAGTGCAACACTGGATTTTTGAAACCTCAAAGCCCAGACCCAATGGCACACCTCCTCCAATAAGACCACACCTCCTAATCCTTCCTAAACAGTTTCCCAGTTGGGGACTAAGCGTTCAAACATATGAGCTTATGGGGGGGGTCATTCTCATTCAAACCAACTTGGTCATTCTTTTTTCATGACTTAGTTGGAATTTCCTAAAATGCTAATGACTCTTTATACTTTCATGAAGAGTATTCATCCACAAATATGTTTATTGTTGGCCTGAGATAACTCTGGCCTCACAGAGACAGCTAGGAGGAAAGCTTCCTCCTCTCCCCCCACTAAAAGAATATAACACTGGTAAAATATTTCCTGACCATGCTTGAAAGAGTTGGCTGGTTTTAGTTTCCCACAGGGAAGGGGGTCTGTCCTCCTTCCCATGTGCTAATCTTTAACTGCTGGGACTGTAGTGGTGTTCTCGCTTTTCATTCCTGATATTATTTGATATTTCCCTTTTAATTTTTTTCTTCCTTTTGTTTGAGACAGGATTTCACTATGGAGACTAGGCTGGCCTCCAACTTGAAGAGAGCTGCCAGCCTCTGCTCCTTTGTTCTAGGACTTAAGACATGATCCACTCATTTTAATTATTCCTTCTCCTCCTTCTTCTCCCCCCTCCTTCTCCTCCTCTTCTTTCTTCCTTCAGGCTGGCCTGGAGCTCACACGGGTTCACCGGCTATTGCCTTCCAGGTACTGGGATTATAGGTGTGTGTTCCCACACTCAGTTTACATTTTAAGTTCTTGATCAAACTTGCTACAGTTTTATCAGTCTTATTAGCCTAGGATCCACCTGGGATACTCACTCAGCACCAGGGACAAAGGGATAACAACCCTAATGCAGTGCCCAAATTTTGAACCTCCAAATCACCAAAAGACCCGTTCTGATGCAAGAGCAAAGAGTCTTTTATTATTTAACGCGTTAACTGCATTACCTTGGTTCTTCCCTTGGCCCTGACACAGTGGGTGGGGTGAGAGGGACCAGGAGGGATCAAGTGTCAGGGAATTTATTGGGGCAGGGCAAGGGGAGCATCTGAGGTCTGCAACAGTCTCAGGATTGGTTCACTTCTGGACCTGTCCTGAGCTGATTGGTCAACTGGTTGCTATGGCCTAGAGGCCCTCCCAGGGCGGTTGCCATGCTCTGTACACCACTGTTCCGCCACTGTTACCGTAAAGCACATCCAGAGCTTGTAAAGCACCTCTAGAGTCTGCCCGCTAACTTCTGGCTGGGTGTCTGAACTCCTAGTGACTGGGGCAGGTCCGGCAAGGTCAGAAGAAACTCAGCACACGTTGAGCTCATCCTGCTGGGTCTTTTCTGCAGCCTGTTATGGCTGCCAAAGCAGGGGTCTGGGTGAGGGTCGGGTCCCTTCACTAGCTAGCTTCCTCCCGTGATCTCATCCATGGTGGACTGTAAAGAGAAACCTTTTCCTTGAGAGAAGCCTTCCCGTCAGCCTGGTTCTAGAGCCGCATCAGTCCCAAATAAACACACAGGAGGCTATATTAATTATGAAGCTGTTGGCCTTGCTTGTTTCTTACTGGCTAGCTCTGACTTAAGTAATTACCCTATAATCGTTAATCTAAGTATTTCTCTTACCGGAGAACTTTCCGGGCTTCCTACCCCATGGCGTTACATCTTGACTCTCTGTGTTTCTCCTTCCCAGAGTTCTCCTGGACTCCTAGTCCCACCTATCTTGGTTCCCTATTGGCCCAACAGTGCTTTATTGACATATACATAGGACTTCCCTCATCAGTGGACCCTTATATATGGTTATCTCCCAAGTGTCCCAGCTCCTAATACTGCTGCATTAGAGGTGACTTTGAATGGAAAGCCTCAAAGGGATGGAAAACATTTAAACCACTGCAGGAGAGCCTGCTTGTTCCACGCTAGTCCACAACGAGCCTAACCCTGTTCCCGTCTTTCAACCACACCCTACCGGAGGTAGTTATCTGCCTTGAATGCTTTCGAAGTTGTCTTCTTAGAGGGCTCAGGTCTTTCCCCTTAGATGGCCTACTCTGCTGGAGTGAATCAGTTGCTAGGGTTCTCTTGTTGCTGGGCAAGCTTTCACCCCGCACTTCCTCCTTCACTTTTGCAGAAGTGGCCATGACGCTGAGCTAGGCAGCAGGGCCAGCCTCCTCGGGAAGCAGCGGGAAATGGCAAATGCCAGCAGGAGATAGATGGGTCTTGAGATAAGCTGATGTGGGCCATCTCCAGAACCCTTGGATTGCTGGGATGGCCTTTGGAGAAATAGAAGCCCTTGCTCTGCCTGTGGCCATTCACACTCCTCTTAAGTTTGGGGGCTGGTGAAGCCTGGAGTTTCATATACGTGTCATGTAAATCTCGGGGCTAGATATGTAGCTAAGTGGGCAGAGTGCTTGCCTATCGTGCACGTGGCCCTGGGTTTGATCCTTGGCACTGCATAAAACTGCCGTGGTGGCTACACCTAAGTAATCAGGAAGGTGGAGACAGGAGGATCAGAGGTTCAAGGTCATCCTTAGTCACATAGCAAGTTTGGGCCAGCCTGGGCTACATGGGACCCTGTCTCCTAAAAGTGATAATCTATGGAGTCAGACAGATGGCTCAGCGGTTAAGAGCACTGACTACTCCTGCAGAGGACCCAGGTTTGATTCCCAGCACCCACATGGCAGCTCACAACTGTCTGTAACTCCAGTTCCAGGGGATCTGACCTCCACAGGCACCCAACATGCAAAAGGCGCACAGACATAATGCAGGCAAAATACCCATACACATAAGATGAGTAAGTTTAACAATAATGAAGATTACAATGCAGAAGCCTACTTCACAGATGAGTAAACAGCCCTGGATGGACAAAATAGTTTGCCAGTTTCAGCGTGATGTCTAGTTTCACTCATTTTCCTGCAAACGAGATCATCTTCTTCTTTGTGGTTAAGTAGAAGTCTATTGTATGTGTATGCCACATCTTATCAATTTATAAACTAGACTCAGTAAGACAAATACTGAATGTTTTCACTAATGTGTAGAACCTTGCTATTACACACACACAGACACACCATATACACACCACACACCATACACACACATACCACCCCACCACACACAACACACATGGACACACCATATACACACCACACACAAGACATTCACACCCCACACACACACACATCACAAAGGTAGAAAGACTTGACATGACTAGGCTCTGGAGAGTGGTGTCCGAAGCAGGTTAACAACAGGAAAATGTTGCCAAAATATGTGGTTATGGAATGTAAATGCCACATGACTGTCATGCATATCATTATGCGTATTGTATTACGTATGCACAGTTAGTGGCAGGGCCGAGAATTATTCCGGCTCTGACTCCCGTCCTCAGGCTCAGTGTTACCACACATCTCCCAAGATCCCTGACCAGACAGATCTACGCAACATACAGACCTGGACACCAAGGGCTGAGCCGTGGCTGCCTTATTAGAATCGCTGTGATAGAGACTGCTTTTAGCTATAGATTTAAAAACGCAGCAAAAGAGGAAGACGCATCAGTTGCAAAGATCCATCTCCGTCAACGGTCTGATTTCGAATGGACTCAACACACAAGTTTCTCACTCTTCTTACCGTGGTGGTGCCCTGGAAGACAGCAAGACGGGCGTTAGGGTTCGCCCCACCTTACCCTCCCTTACCCTATCCCAATGAAGCTAGTGTGTTGCAGGCTTGGTCTCCAAAGCTGCAATGATCAAAGGTGGGACTTAGGGAAAATGCTGAGGACCTTGACGTTAGTGACAGAGTCACAACTGAATGGGCCGTTAGAGGATGGGGCAGACATTCGGAAGTAAGGCCCGGTGGGTGGACATGAGTCACTGGGGAGGGAGTTCCCTTGAAGGACGATTTTTGTCTCCACAGGCTTGCCCCCTTTCTCTTGGTCTTTGCTTCCTGTTGGCTAGCATTCGAGAGGCTCTCCTCCACCCTGTGCCACAGGTCTGAAGCAACAAGGCCAATTAGTGATGGGCCCTGAAAGGGGTAAACTGAACTCAAAGGCTTCACTTCTAATAATTTAGACCCTCACTCAGCCCCTGCTTTAGCAGCCATGACAGGCTACAGCTACAGAAAAGACATGTAGGCCTCTGACACAAGGAAACTCCAGATCCTCTGGCCTCCTGGAGCCTAGGGACAAAACTGAACACAAAGAAACTCCAGACACCACCCCCCTCCACCACCCTTCCAGATGCTTGGTTCTTGGGAACTGTTTAGCCACAAAAGAAACTCCAGGGGGACCAAAACCTCCCCTATAGTCTCCAGGATATAATTCTGAGAACTATTGGTATCTATGTACAACAGGCCACCTCTACAAGTAACAAGACAATGCCATAGAAGCCACAGAACGTTCCCTCTCAGCACTGACCAATGAGAATAATTGGTGCACAGGTATTTCATGCCAAAATATGACTTTGAGAAATTCTGCTGTTTGTTCCCAAATGTCAACCAATCAGAAACCAGCCCGTGCTTACTGATGTAATCCTGTAACTTTTGTCTTTAAAACCTAGCAGTAGACAGGGAACTTCACTCCCTCTGGAGGCTGCTGCATCAGCGTGTTAGACAGGGTCCCTGTCATGGCTGGATGAACAATCATTAAACCTTGCTTTTGCAGTTTGGTGGGTCTTCCTGGTGGTCTCTGGGGACTTTGCGACTGTGAACCAGAAGGAGTTGGTTTTCCAGATATTTTGTCATAATGATAGGAAGATAATGAGACATGGGGTACCCTCACTGATAGTTGCTGGGCTTACCAGAAGGACTTCCCGATCATCTCAGAAGGGCAGACACAGCTCCTTGACCCACCTCCTAACACTCCTGTCCCTAAGATTCTAACATGACTTTGACCTCAGAGGCAATGAGCTGCAGAACATTAGACCTGCATCCCTCCGAAATGAAAACGGTCCCGTGAGAAGCATGACAAAGTACGTCATACAGGGCCACACTAGTCTGTAACAGGGAGGGAGACTTTTTTTCTTTCTGTGGTACCGGGAATTGAACCCAGGACTCCCACACGCTGGAAAAGTGTTGTAGTTAGGACTTAGGTTCTCCGGCAGTAAATAGACTATGGGCTGGCAGCCCGCCACGCTTACAGGTTCACCACAGAAGTGTGATGCCATGGAAGACCCAACGTGAGGAACTAGAAATGACACACTGAGCGTGTGTCTTCTTGCAGCTGAATGGTAGGGACAGAGACAGAAAATGGCAGAGTCTGAGAAGCTGGTTCCAGGACAGCCCTGAAGTCATCGCTGTGGCTCGGATGATGGGATGGGGAGGGAATGATCTGGGCCTCAGGGCCTGCTGCTGAGACTGGCCTCGCTTTCCACTAAGGAGACAGAATTTTGCTAAATTGTCATTTTGTAAAAACAGCTTCTCAGCATTGACACAAAATACATATATCTTACTGTTGGAGCACAATCAAAGAACACAGTCATGTGAAGAGGTTTCTGAGTGTGTGTGTGTGTGTGTATGTGTGTGTGTGTGTGTGTGTGTGTGTGAGAGAGAGAGAGAGAGAGAGAGAGAGAGAGAGAGAGAGAGAGAGAGAGAGAGAGAGAGACTCCAGGAAAACAAAACAAGAGTCTTGTGACCTCACTTTCTTCAAAACACAGAATTGTTCTTGGATTATGCTTTTGTGCCCGTCCCAGGTGTGGTAGGTAGGAGTGATGGTAGGTAGGAGTGATGGTAGGTAGGAGTGATGGTAGGTAGGAGTGATGGTAGGTAGGAGTGATGGTAGGTAGGAGTGATGGTAGGTAGGAGTGATGGTAGGTAGGAGTGATGGTAGGTAGGAGTGATGGTAGGTAGGAGTGATGGTAGGTAGGAGTGATGGTAGGTAGGAGTGATGGTAGGTAGGAGTGATGGTAGGTAGGAGTGATGGTAGGTAGGAGTGATGGTAGGTAGGAGTGATGGTAGGTAGGAGTGATGGTAGGTAGGAGTGATGGTAGGTAGGAGTGATGGTAGGTAGGAGTGATGGTAGGTAGGAGTGATGGTAGGTAGGAGTGATGGTAGGTAGGAGTGATGGTAGGTAGGAGTGATGGTAGGTAGGAGTGATGGTAGGTAGGAGTGATGGTAGGTAGGAGTGATGGTAGGTAGGAGTGATGGTAGGTAGGAGTGATGGTAGGTAGGAGTGATGGTAGGTAGGAGTGATGGTAGGTAGGAGTGATGGTAGGTAGGAGTGAGCTTCCTTCAGATCATTCATTACAACTGGCTGTTGTCGTTAGTTTATATTCCTCTTTGGAAACGCACCTGCAGTTTGCCCTTAGGTTTGTGACCTTTACCCCTGTGATTCTTCTTAACCCTCGGAGTACAAACTGATGCTCTGAATGAAGCTGGTTATTGCACGAGACTTCAGTCCGCCTCACTCATCGGACTCCATCCTCCCAGGTCCCACTGCCTCTAGAGCAGCCAACAGCCTACAAGCCCTGAACATAGGGGTGAAACGCCCTCAATCCCAGCACTCGGAAGGCAGAGGTAGGAGGGTCTCTGTGAGTTCCAGGCCAGCCTGGTCTACAGAGCGAGTTCCAGCCTACACAGTGAGACCCTGTCTCAAACAACAACAAAACCATGTCTTGAGCTTGGAGCCTCAAAAGAGAAAGTCCTGGCAATTCAGAGTCTTTTCATGCACAGAGGGGAGCCAAAGGCTGCTGTGGTGTGACACTCCACCCTGCTGTGATGTGACACTCCACCCTGCTGTGGTGTGACACTCCACCCTGCTGTGGTGTGACACTCCACCCTGCTGTGGTGTGACACTCCACCCTGCTGTGGTGTGACACTCCACCCTGCTGTGATGTGACACTCCATCCTGCTGTGGTGTGACACTCCATCCTGCTGTGGTGTGACACTCCACCCTGCTGTGGTGTGACACTCCACCCTGCTGTGGTGTGACACTCCACCCTGCTGTGGTGTGACACTCCACCCTGCTGTGGTGTGACACTCCACCCTGCTGTGGTGTGACACTCCACCCTGCTGTGGTGTGACACTCCACCCTGCTGTGGTGTGACACTCCACCCTGCTGTGGTGTGACACTCCACCCTGCTGTGGTGTGACACTCCACCCTGCTGTGATGTAACACTCCATCCTGCTGTGGTGTGACTCTTTTGCACTATTATAGGGAAAGAGAAAGACTAAAGCCACACAAGCCTAAGATGTCTGCAGTAACTACCATTGCCAAGGAGCGCAGAAACGATTTCTAAGAGACAAAAGCTTTCTGTTCTCAGGAAATCTTCTTCTACTCAGGGGTCATGGAGAGAAGCTGAAAACGGGGCATACAGGCAATCAGTCTGAATGTTCACTGCTGTCAATCAATGCCTGACTGTTGTGAGGTGGGCGGAAGCCAGGCACGAGGAAAAAGGGTGCTGGTCTGACGTCACATCACATCTGAGTAAACATTCAAGGGAACCCCTCCATTGTCACAGAGGATTTGAAGAGGGCTGTGCAGTGGTGGCGCACGCCTTTGATCCCAGCACTCGGGAGGCAGAGGCAGGCGGATCTCTGAGAGTTCGAGGCCGGCCTGGACGGACAGCCTCCAAAACAATACAGAGAAACCCTGTGTCGTAAAACCAAAAAAAAAAAAAAAAAAAGAAGAAGAAGAAATCAGCCCACCTAAACGTGTGCTGGGGGTGGGGGGTGCCTTTGTGTCTGATAAAGCTGGGCCTGAGGGTGATGTCATAGTTGGCTTCAGCTGTCAACTGGACACACCCCAGAGTCACCTAGGAACAGGGGACCTCAACCGAGGATGGTTCTGTGGGGCATTTCATTCACCGTGGGCAGTGCTTCCTGGACAAGCAGTTCTAGGCTGCACAAGAAAGGAAATTCAACAAGCCAGTGGGAGCAATCTAGCGAGCTGTGTTCCTCCACGGTCTCTGAGTTCCTGCCTACAGGTTCCTGCCCGAGTTCCTGGCCTGGCTTCCCTCAGTGAAGGAGTGCTGTAACCCAAAGGTGAAAGGAACACTTTCATCCCAGCTGGGTTTTGGCCAGTGTTTTGTCAACAACAGAAAGCAAACCAGGCCCGGTGGGCTGAGGGCGCAATTATTCCTGAGCATCTTTTCCCCAACCAGTTGGAAATGTGAAGCCTGTGCTCACGCTAGTAAAAATGTGCACGCCTTTAATCCCAGCACTCGGGAGGCAGAGGCAGGTCGATCTCTGTGGGTTCAAGGCCAGCCTGGTCTACAGAGAGTGTTCCAGGACAGCAGCAACTACGGAGAAACCCTGTCTCGAAAAACTAAAAAATTAAAAAAAACCCCAAACAAATGGTTCCTTCTATGCATGTTAAAAGACTGAAAGTCCCTGTCACTGACCCAGCCTGAGATCTCTCTGGAAGTCTTGCTTAGCGTCAGTCCATGGATATTTGCTGACTTTTACGAGCATTTCCCCGTTTGCCAACACGCCTTGAAAGCTGTGTGTGTTCAGAAGTTTCCTATTCCACATGTACTCGGGAGAGAGGACCTTGGTGGGCTTGTTGTAAAGGAGATACTTGTTCAAGTAGCTTTCATCATGCCGTACCACATGGATGCGATCAGCTTGGTCCATCCTCATCGCCTGGTAGCAAAACTTGGTGAGCCTGTGCACCTCCAGTACCTTTCCCCCAAAGAAGGCCCCGGAGTAGTAAAAATCTCCCTCGTCCTCGGAAATGTAGGCTTGTGACTGAGGCTGCCTTTCATAAGCCAACGATTTCCTTGGTAATCCAAAGAACAAAGGGTGCAGCGTGCCAAACAGGGAGGACAGGATCTCCACGCCCACGCTGTTGCAGAAAATTATGTTCACATGTGCGCAGACCAGGTAATCTACCTCCTTCGCAAAGCGCCCCTGGGAAAAATAGCTGATCGCCTCCATTCTATAGATGTAAGTGTTCCGGGGGTGGGCAGAGCCCTGGGTCTCCAGAATTACCATCTGCCTTCCCTTACTGGGCTTCAGGGACGGCATGCTGACTGGCTGATCAGTGAAAATGTAGTACTTCACCCTGTGTCCCTCCATGAAGTACATCTCGGCGCTCTGCAGGAACACTTTCAGGAAGGCTACGTATTTTCCGGTGGCAAATACGACTAACCCGATGGAGACATTCTGGAGCCGGAATTGCTGGTTCAGGATGGCAATTTGGAAAGTCCCGTCCCACACGATGGGAGCCAGCCAAGGAGTCTGCACGACTATGTTTTCACTGCTGGGCATTAGTTTCGACTGATAATACCACATCCTGGACACATTCACTATTTTCAGGTGGTCTGCTTCTCTAACGGTTATGCTGTCCTTGGCTAGAATGTACTTCGGCTTCTGTTTATTCAGGCTCAGGAAAGCACAGGCGAAAAAGGTCAATGTTAGGGTGAGCAGGAAACCAAAGACCACAGAAAGAAGTGAGTGATATTTCGATTTCTCCAATTTTGGCAGCAGTGGAGTCATGGCTGTTGGTATCTCCTCCATGACGTGGGGGTAACTTGTTCTGGGTCAGACGGGCCAAATCCAGGGTTCTGAGATATCCAAGTGTCCCAAACACAGCCTACTTACTCATCCAGCAGCATCAGGAGCCCTTCAAACTCTGCAAGCATCAGGAACCGTGCAGTCAAATGGAGAAAGTCTCGAAATCCCGACGGAACTCCCACGAAGTCGGTTTCGTTTTATGGTGTTTTCAAAGCGTCGGTATGGCAGGATTCAGTCCTTGGAGCACAAAGAACAGCCAGGAGGACTGAACTCAGGATTCTGGAAGCACGCTCAGGAGACTGGTTCAAAGGACATCACTAAGCCAGGCCAAGAGGAGAGATTGTGATGAAATCAGGGCAGGGCAGACACCACCAGAAGTGACCTGGCGCTCAGGACAGCCATGCTCCACCTTGCTCTTGACAGTTACCGCTTGTGAAACTGTTAGCAGAAGCCAGTTCCCTGCAAAACCTACAGCCTCAGGACCCGACTGTCTCCAGCATCACGCCTAGGTGGGCTGCTGGGGGCCCTCACTTGGAAGGACGGTTGGGGAGCCACGGTAGAGGGGGTGATGTAGGTGTCAATGCTTGTTTTCTCCTGTTCTCCTAGTGTCACGTAGAACCCATTGAGGATTTGTTTTGAGGTGACAAGCTTCCCATTGTTAGAACTGGGAGGCTAACTTTAATTAGGGTTACCTAGTTCAACCCTCACCCTGCGTGAATGCAGCCAGGTTGGAAAACCGGTCCTTGAAAGGTCCAGGTTCAGTATTGGTTTCAGCTTTGAACAACATTACACAAACACACAAACAAACAAGAGATTCCAAATTCAGCGGGCAGCTCCTTTATCCTGGTTTGCTTTCTACCGCAGTGATAAAGACCACCACAAAAAGGGTTTATTTCACCTTACAGCCGGCTCACAGTCTATCATGATGGACAGGCAGGGCAGGAACTAAAGCAGAGACGACGGAGGAACAGTACTTTATGGCTTCTTCTCCATCGCTTGCTCAGCCTGCTTTCTTACACAACCTGCCTAAGGATGTTACCACCCACAGAGGGCTGGGCCCACCTGCATCAAACAGCAGCCAAGAGAATGCCTCCGTTGAGAAGGCTGCCTTTCTCCAATGTGTACTTTGGACATCTTTATCGAAGACACGGTGGCTACAGCTGTGTGGGATTCGATCCAGGCCATCTGTCTCAGCACCCTACACGTCTGTTTCTCTGCCGGTACCTTGCTGTCCTTGTCACTATGGCTCTGTAGTGTCGTTTGAGATCAGGAAGAGTGATGCCTCCAGCACTACCATTATTTCTCAGGATTCCTTTGTCTTTTATGTTTCCATTTCAGTTTTTTTCCCAAGACAAGGTTTTCTCTGTGTAAGAGCGCTGGCTGTCCTGGAACTCATTCTGTAGACCAGGCTGGCCTCGAACTCACAGAGAACTGCCTGCCTCTGCCTCCCGAGTGCTGGAATTAAAGATATGTGCCACCACTGCCCAGTCCCAGCTCCATTTGAATTTTTAGGACCACTTTTTCTTTTTCTGTGAAGAATAGTGCAGGAGTTTTGATGATGCTTGCATTGACTCTGTAGATTAGTATTTTTTTATTTTTTATTTTTGGTTTTTATGAGACAGGGTTTCTCTGTATTGTTTTGGAGTCTGTCGGTCCAGCCCGGCCTCGAACTCACAGAGATCAGCCTGCCTCTGCCTCCCGAGTGCTGGGACTAAAGGTGTGCGCCACCACCACCCGGCGGCGACTCTGTAGATTAGTAAGAGCCATTTTCATAATATTTATTCTCTGAATCCCTGAGCATAGGAAGTCTTTTCATCTTCTAGTGTTTTCTTCAATTTCCTTCTTCTAGTGTTCCAAAGTTTGTATTGCAGACATCTTTCATTTCCTTGGTTGAGTTTATTCCAAGGCATTTTCTTAGTCTTGAGGTGATACTGAATATGATCATCTCCCTAGTTTTTGTTTTCCTCAGTATGTCTTTTATTGATATATGCACAGGAAAGCTACTGATTTTTGTATGTTGATTTTTATATCCTGACCCTTTGAAAGTGTTTGTCATCTTTAAGATATTTCCTGGTAGTGTCTTTATGGTTCCTAATGTATAGAGTCAAGTCATCGGCAAGTAAAGAGGTGGCTTCCTCTTCTGTTTGTGTCCATTTTATTTTCCTCTCTTGCCCCACTGTTCCAGCTAAGACTTCACCCATGATATTGAAGAGGAGGGGCGAGAGTGGACCCATGTGTTTTATTCTTGATCTTAGTGGAAATGCTTTGAGGGTTTTTTTTTTGCATTTAGTGTGAGGTTGGCTGTATGTTTGCCCTGCATATATTATATGTATTATTGAGATATGGTCCTGTTGCTACACTTTTGCTTTCCAGACTGGTCCTGCTACGTCTTTAGCCCCAAATAAACACATGGATGGTATATTAATTATTAAACTGTTGACTGATGGCCAAGGCTTCTTATTGTCTAGCTCTGTCTTAATTATTAACCCATTTCTATAAATCTATGTATTTCCACATGGTCTTGGGTTACTGGAGAATGCCTGGATTTGTTACTCCTTTGGCAGCTACATGGCCTGTCTTTGAGGCGCCTCTCCTCATCTCCTAGTCCCACCTATCTTCCTGACTCTATTGGCCAAACGGTGTTTTATTCATCAAACAATAAGAGAAACATCTATACAGAAGGACATTGCCCATCATGGTCCCTTCTAGACTTTCCAGAGCTAAAAGATGTTGGATTTTAGCAAAAGCCTTTGCTGCTTCCGATGCTCATGTGATTTCTGCCTCTGAGTGTGCTTCCGATGCTCAGTGATTTACCTATGTTGATCCATTCCCGAATCTCTGGAATGGAGTCAACCAGATGTGTTCTTGAACTCAGTCTGCAACAACTTTACTGAAAATCTTTTTGTCTATGCTCATCATGGAAACCAGCCTGTAATTTTCTTTTCATGCTGTGTCTTTGACTTTTGTATCAGGGAGATATTGGATTCACAAATTGAGTTCTCCTTTTCTACTTTATGTAATAACTTGAGACTCATCAGTCTTAGTTCTTTCTATAAAGGCTTGGTAGAATTCAGCAGTCAAGTCAGCTAACCTGGACGTTTTGAACCGGGAAATTCCTCACTACTGCTTCAATCTCATTATAGTCATCAGTTTCGTTGTAGTTATGTTAAAAGTCTTTCCTTGACTTAGCTTTGCTAAATATTATACATATATGTATGTATATGCATACAATCCATTTCTTTTGGATTTTCCAATTTAGTGTGTTATAAGTTTGTAAGGTGTATCTTTCTGATTTTTTTCTAATTATTCTTGGTAGGTATCTGTTGTGTTATCCCTCTTTTTTATCTCTATATTGCGTTGGGTCTTCTCTTCTAGTTGGTTGGTTTGGATAAGGGTTTGTCACTCTTGTGCATCATTTTAACCTATTGATTGACGTAGTGTGTCTGTAATTGGGTGGTGTTGTGTGCAGGGGACATGGTGTGTGTGCAGAGGGCATCTTTCAAAGGAGAAATTTCTCTCCTGTTACCATATGGGTTCCAGGGATCACACTCAGTTCCTAAGGCTTGGTAGCTAACGACATGACCACTAACAAGGTATGGTTGAGGGGAAGGTTTTTATTGTAGATATGAGGGAGAAACAGCCAGAGGCATCTGGAAGAGAAGAGAGAGAGAGAGAGAGAGAGAGAGAGAGAGAGAGAGAGAGAGAGAGAGAGAGAGAGAGAGAGAGAGAGAGAGAGAAGAGAATAAGAGAAAGGATAGGTATGACCAAAACTGGGCCATGAGACTCGGGGAGGGGGGTGGTGGGGGCAGGGTTGAGAGAAGAGAGAAGGAGCAAAGGAGACACCGAGAGGGTACCAAGAAAGTGAGTGTCTGAAATGATGGGGTCGTACAGGAATGAGAAGCTGGAGGAATGGAAGCCCACGAGCTGGACTTTAGGGTAGGGGTGGGGTGAGAGACTAAGCTTGTAGTTGTAGTATCCGGAATTTGAAATAAATCTCACTATCTCCATCTGGCTTTTAAAACTTCATTGAGAAATCAGGAGTTATTCTCATGGACTTGTCTTTGTTGTGGGGTGTCCATCCGAGAAGACTCTTGGGACATGGGCTCAGGCCAATCCTGATTAGCTGTCCAGCACCCACATAGGATGTTCAGAATCCCAGTGTAGCCTGAGCCTTTCTCAGGGTGAGCTTTTAGGCACAAAGCTCATGTCCTGGGTTGATACACGTCAGTTAACAAGAACTGTTAGCCATAGCCGGGCGGTGGTGGCACAAGCCTTTAATCCCAGCACTCGGGAGGCAGGGGCAGGCAGATCTCTGTGAGTTTGAGGCCGGGCTGGACCGACAGCCTCCAAAACAATACAGAGAAACCCTGTCTCGTAAAAACCAAAAAAAAAAAAAAAAAAAAAAAAGAACCGTAAACTAGAAGTGAAATGCCAAAGAGCAAGGTTAGTACATTGGGGACTTTCCCAGAACTTTGGATTTTGAGGGATTATATCTTTGCTCTCATTTTGGCAGGCGTCACTGCCTATGTGCTGGGTTCCAAGGCCTGTGTGGTACTTCCATCGTGGCATCAATTGTGCGAAGGTCTGGGGGTTCTGTAACACCTTTCTATGTGACTTGGTGCTTCTCTCTTACAGTTCTCAGTACATCTTCTTTGTCCTATACGTTCAGTACTTGTCTTAGTCAGGGTCACTATTGCTGAGATAGAACACCATGGCCAAAAGCAACTTGGGGAGGAAAGGGTTAATCTCACCCACAGTTCATCGTCAAAAGCTGTGAGGACAGGGACTCAGGCAGGGCAGGAACCGGGAGGCAGGAGCTCATGCAGAGGCCATGCTCCTCATGATTTGCTCAGCCTGCTTTCTTGTACAGCCCAGGGTGGAACCACCTACAATGGGCTGGGCCCTCCACCATCAATCATTAATTAAGAAAACGCCCTGCAGCCTGATCTTATGGAGGCATTTTCTCAACTGAGACTCCCTTCTTTCCAGTGACTCCAGCTTGTGTCCAGTCGACATAAAACTAGATAGCACAGTACTTTATTATATGACACGGATTTCTTTCCTGGTCCAGCCTTTTGGATGTTATGTATGCCTCTTGTGTTTATTCAGCCCCCCCCCTTCTCTGGATTTTGGGAAACTGTCTGCCATGATTTTATTGAAAATATGTCCTATGTTTTTAGCATGTGGTATGTCTCTTCTATGTTCAGAATTTGTAGATTTGGTCTTTTAAAGATGTCCCAGAGATGTTGCATGTCCCATTTGTGTGTTTAAAAAATCTTCAGGGCCTGGTGTTGTGTGATAGTTCGATCAA